GACAAGGTGAGCTGGGTTGGCCTGGGGTATTAGGTGACTGAGCCTGAGAGCTGAGTGCCCCAGACCAGAGATGGGTTGTGGGAGGTGAGTGCTCAGTTGGGGAAACTTTTAGTTCTGGTTCCTCTGAAGCTGTTCCATATTGAGATGCCAGAGAGGCTGCCAGCTATGGGCCATGTTTTTTGGAGGTATGTCTTTAGATGATTTGACAGTGTAGGAGATTTGGAGCCAGTGTCATTTGCTGCTAATCTGTGTTCTCTCCTCTTCCCTGACTTCTGAATACCCATTGCAGGGGGTAGAGAGTGTTTTCGATATCATGGAGATGGAGGATGAGGAACGGAATGCATTGCTTCAGCTGACTGACAGTCAGATCGCAGATGTGGCCCGCTTCTGTAACCGCTACCCTAATATTGAACTGTCTTACGAAGTGGTGGATAAGGATAGCATCCGCAGGTAAGCCAGAGAGGGTCCCTGCTGGGGGTACCTTGATGACATGCTGTGAACATGCTACTGTACTGATGTGCTGCTCTGCTTTTCCCCCTGCAGTGGTGGCCCAGTTGTGGTGCTGGTGCAGCTGGAGCGAGAAGAGGAAGTCACAGGCCCTGTTATTGCACCTCTTTTCCCACAGGTATGTTCTGGGAGCTGCCTTTACCAGGTGTCAATTCACCTTATTCACTAGCTAGATCCTGAGTACAAGGAGCCATTGTCAGGACACTGGGCTTTTCTAGTTGATGTTTCTTCTCTCCTTTCTGTTGCCACTTACTGTGCTTCTAGTTGTTCAGTTCTTTACCCACAGAAAGAAAATCTTATTTTCTTTATATGGGAGACTATCTGGTTTCTGCTATAAACTTTCAATTAAACTGTCATTTGATTCTGTTAACTAGCTTTTCAGCAGGCTACGAAGAAAGAGTGCTTTAAACTGGGATGTTGGGGCTTTATGACAGTGGAGGGGCCAACAAAGAGGGCTTAATAGAAGAGGCTAGGCTTCAGAAGAGGCCTTCCACAGGGCCTGCTTTGGATCTTCTTCTGCTGCAGGTTCAGCTCCATGTTAAGATTTTTCTCAGCTGGTATATGTGCTTTGTACTGAAAGGGGTACTGAGGAACTCAAAGCTGCCAGGCTCCAAAGACTAGATCTCTATGAGTAGTACCACCTTGGCTTCAGTGGCAAGCACTAAGTGGGAGAAGATACAAGGAATGAGTCAGGACTTAACCACTTCAGTATGGTGCTCACCGGCTGCGAAACCTTGCCCACAGCCCGCACTCATAGTCCGCACGATAGTTTGTGCTGTGCATTGACGACGAATCTGTTTTGCTCTTGTGTGATGAAGAAAGCTTTAAAGCACTGAAAGCTTGTTTTACTTTACAGGCAACTTTACTTGTAATGTAAATCAGAATAGGTAACATATATGTATATGTTTTTATTATGTTATTTATTTATTTATTTATTTTGAGACAGAGTCTCGCTTTGTTGCCCAGACTAGAGTGAGTGCCGTGGTGTCAGCCTAGCTCACAGCAACCTCAAACTCCTGGGCTCAAGCGATCCTCCTGCCTCAGCCTCCCAAGTAGCTGGGACTACAGGCATGTGCCACCATGCCTGGCTAATTTTTTGTATATATTTTTAGTTGTCCAATTAATTTCTTTCTATTTATAGTAGAGATGGGGTCTTGCTCTTGCTCAGGCTTGTTTCGAACTACTGACCTTGAGCAATCCTGCCTCGGCCTCCCAGAGTGCTAGGATTACAGGTGTGAGCCACTGCGCCCGGCCTATTATGTTATTTTTAAATGTTTACAATTTTATTTTAGTAAATGAAAAATTAGAAAAGTCATATCACGGCTATTGGCTAAAGTCAAAGCTTGGGCGGCTATTGACTATAGTCAACACTCGGCTGTGCGCATTCATCTGTGGCTATCAACTATAGTCGACGCTCGTACTGAAGTGGTTAAACAACAGTAAGCTTGCCCCCCACTGTTAAGTCCATTTGAGACATCTTTTGACAGTTTCAGAATCTTAGTTACATTAGATTATATTTTGGAAAGGACTTTGGAAGGCCTTCATATTTTTTTTATTCTGTTCTTTGTAACCATTCTCAAATTTTTTGTGCTGAAATGATTGGTTTTTGGTCACTGCAGAAACGTGAAGAGGGCTGGTGGGTGGTGATTGGAGATGCAAAGTCCAATAGCCTCATCTCCATCAAGAGGCTCACCCTGCAGCAGAAGGCCAAGGTGAGTGTGTCCACTGGCCCTAGCATTTGTTCTGGAGGTGGGGCAGGGTGAGAACTCTACTCATGTCCATGCTCATGATTTCTGTTTTCCATAGGTGAAACTGGACTTTGTGGCCCCAGCCACTGGTGCCCACAACTATACTCTGTACTTCATGAGTGACGCTTACATGGGATGTGACCAGGAGTACAAATTCAGTGTGGATGTGAAAGAAGCTGAGACGGACAGTGACTCAGATTGAGTCCTGAGGCATTTACTCTTGGGTAGAGTTGAGCCAGAATTAGAAACATGTACAGTTATAAGGATCTTGGTTGTGGAGACCAGTCTCATCAGCCTGGCTGGCCAGTCAGGGCCGGTGCTGTCCCAGCCCACCTCCGCTTACTTTTCCCTTTTGCCCCCTTGCTGTGGCAAACTCTGGATCCATTGTCTGCAGGTGCCATGTCAAACATAAACCATAATATGGCATTTTTAAGGCATGTTCCTGGTACTTCCTTTTGAGTCAGACATTCTAATAAAATAACTTGTTGAAACCATTTGTCTTTGCAATGATTCCAAATGAAAAGTTGTTGCTTGAGTCTAAGGGCTTGGCCACAAAGATTTGAGGTTTTAGCTGGAACTTGCTTATAACAATTACTTCTGGAAGACAAGCCTGCTCTTTAGTTGTGCTGTTACCTGTAGCCATTTCAGTCAGTCTGGAGGAGGGAACGCTGGTGGGCAGCTTCTCCTTAGTCAGGCGCATGACCCTGAATCCCCTCCTCAATGTTAGCCACACACCAGCACTACCACAGCAGCCAACACTGAACCTTGGTGGATAGATCACAAATTAGAGGTTTCTCAGGATCCGTTTTCTACAATTCTGCAGTGTCCCCAGAAGGAGGCAGCACCAACCAGCAGGGGCGTTAAAATGTTCCACTGGGATGTGACCCAGTCTTGGTAAACTGATTTTGTAATCACGATCTTCAGATTTTTTTTTGAATTCTTGCTTTCTGTTGTTCTTTAGGGATGTGCACAAAACCAAAAGATGATTCTGAAGGGCAGTTTTCCTAGGTCAGCAGTTTCCAAATGATTTGCTCTCAGGACCCCTTTACACTATAGAAAATTAAGAACCCAAAAGAGGTTGATGTATGTGTGTATGTTCTTGTTTTTTTAATCACAGGAACTTCTCAGTTCTGGAGACTAGCCCAAAGAGCTTTTATTATCTAGGTTATATCCATTGGTATTTACTATATTAAAAATTAAAACTATTTTAAAATAACTCCTAAAACAAAATAAATCCAGAGAGAAGGGTAGCATTTTATAATTTTATAAATCTCTTTAATGTCTGGCTTCATAAAAGACAGCTGGATTCTTATACATGTTTCTACATCCAATATTTAATGTCATTTGTGTTGAAGCCTCTTCAGGTAATTGTGGCTGTTCTTTGATGCTATACCAAGACTCCACAAGTGGCAGTCTCTTAAAGGCAATGTGGAATCTGAAACCTTATCAATGCATTATTGTACTCTGTTACATTTAAAACCCACTGGTCTTACACTTTGAATGAATCTTACCCATGAATGATTTTGTAACATGCATTGATCATTTGGAAAATTCTTCTAATGTCTATGCATTTCATTACCAAAATGTCAGCCAAATAGCCAAGTCCAAATACCATAATTTGCTAGTTCCTTCAAGTAAAAATGGTATGCCATGAAGAACAGCTAATTCAGCTTGCAGCTCAGTTGCACAACTGCTTTTCCTCAAGGCCGCCATACTTCAGTGTGCAGCAGAAGTGCTTTATGTATGCTTCCCATTTTCTCAGAAGATTAGAAGTATTCTCTAGGGTCAACATTTAATACAATTAATCATCTTTACTAGTTCGATCAAGAGCATTTCTAAGTGAAGTTGGCAATATTTTTACTCGAGTACAAGGCAGTGAGACTATGATTAGTAGTTTGTTGCCACCAGCTTTATTCATGCTACAGTGCCAACAGGTGAACTTACAGACCTTCCCCCCTTCAAAAAAGTCTAGGGACTCCCAGGGATCTGCACACCACATTTTGAAGACCACTGCTCTAGGTACTGTCCCAGTTGTTCTGAAATCTGAAGTCTTTAGATACATGACTTTTATAGTGTAAAAAAAAAAAAAAAACTTAAGGCTATATGGCTTCGAGGACCATCCTCGCATCAAAACCCAATTGGGGCCGGGCTCGGTGGCTCATGCCTGTAATCCTAGCACTCTGGGAGGCCGAGGCAGGTGGATTGCTCAAGGTCAGGAGTTCGAAACCAGCCTGAGCAAGAGAGAGACCCCGTCTCTACTATAAATAGAAAGAAATTAATTGGTCAACTAAAAATATATAGAAAAAATTAGCCGGGCATGGTGGCACATGCCTGTAGTCCCAGCTACTCGGGAGGCTCAGAGAGGAGGATTGCTTGAACCCAGGAATTTGAGGTTGCTATGAGCTAGGCTGAGGTCACGGCACTCACTCTAGCCTGGGCAACAAAGTGAGACTCTTGTCTCAAAAAAAAACCCAATTGGAAGTGATGGTCAGAGACAACCTGAGACTGAAGAACTGATTGTCTATGGCAGGGTTTCTCAACTTTTCTTCATTATCACTCCCCTAAAGAGCCTTAGTAGATGTCTTCATCCTAAACACTCCCACCAAAAAAAATGTAATACCACAGATATGCTATCTTTATGTGCTGTGGGCTATTAGAGGGCCACAAGCTATTTGCTCTAAGATATTTTCCCCTCCCCCAATGAAGAACCAGTTTGCATCCCTGTTAAGAATGTACAGCCTGCATCCAGTACTAACTCCCTTTAGGATTTGCCCATTTTTTTTTTTGTATTCCCAGCTGCCATCACAGCATAATGGCACAAGGAGGTACGTGAGGGTTTCTAAGAGAAAGTAGAGGTGTCTCACTCTCAACAAACCGACATTAAGAAAAAAATTTCCTTCAATATTGATTGGGTATTTTAAATGCAGGAACTTACCCAGAAATTGGGAAGGTAGGACCTATTTCAGATAAAAATTCACCATGGAAATACTTTAAATTGTGAATGCCTTATAAAATAGGACTTGAGACTCAGGTGGATTATTTTTATAAAGCTTACAACTTCAGAAAGATCTGAGACACATATGCCCCATTTTATATACAGTGATTACAAATAGTATATTCATCCCTCCTCCCAAATTTAACACTGTGACCTAAAGCAAAATCTGTGGCACAGTAACAATATACTGATGTTCTATAGCCCTTTACTAAGGCCCTTGGGTCTAAGGAGGGGAAAGTTCTGTGGTCCACATCTCTACCCAAGTCAGAATAGAAGCCAGTCAAATAGAAGGTCAAGGATGCTCCTCCAGGTACTCTCAAGGCCTGGGGAAGTCTTACAACATTTTCTGAGGAACCATTACTCTGTCCAAAGTCAAGATAGCTCAGAGGCCTTCAGGCCGCTGATACTTCCAGAAGGCCACTTCCCCATCATCACTGCAGGAGGCCAGGAGCCCCTGCTCCTTGGGGTTCCAGGCCACACAATTGACATCCTGGGAATGAGCCTGACGCAAGTGGGCTGTCAGGGAGAAAGTGGGCTGCTGTGGATCTGAGCCGGGATCCTCCTCAAACACTCGGATGGCGTCATCCCCACAAGCTGTAGCCAGGGCCCCTGTCAGCTGACACCTGGGAGGAAGATGCACATCAGTGGGTAATGTAGGTATCTCCTCCCTACCCAACCTGGCTAATTAGGTAGGAAAGATTTGTTCTACATTTCCCAGCCTGCTCTCTTCCCAAACTTCATGCCTCAGCTAAAAGTCTCTTACTGAGTTTCCCTGACAAATACAGAGCCACAAACATCACCCACGTAAGGCTTTGGGTGCATCTATCTAGTCCCCCCCATACACTTACCCTAAAAAATGATATACAGTTCTGAACTGCACTTTTCTCTCTTAGCATAAGCAGTTTCCCATGTCATGAAGGATTTCCCATGTCATGAAGTATTTTCTTCCAACAGTGACCTAATAGGCTATTGAGTTTTACCTCATTTATTTAAGTTCACTTTTATTGAGTAAATAGGTTGTTTCCACGTTTGCTAATATAAAGCAAGCTTGGGCACACATCAGTGTTTTCATTGTTTGAGATCATTTCCTAGTTTCAGATTATTTCCTAGGGATCAATTCTAAGGGCTGGAACTGCCCTTTGAAATACTCTCCTATATAAATGGTGCAGCTTTTCTGGCCTGCATAAGGGCAGAGTCAGTGACAGCAAACCATACATACCCCAGCCACGAATCCAAAAATTCAGTCATTTCTGAATAGTATGATGCCCTTACAGCCTGGGATCTTAACCCAGGTGCAAACTTGGGTTTAAGTCTGTTCCCTGCTCCTGTGCATCCCAGGCCAGGCAGCTCTAAGCCAGCACAGTAGAGTCAGGCCCAATCTGAAGAAATGGGGTGGCTGCTCCTAATTCCAGTGCACTCCTTCAACGTGGCAGAGTGCAGCATAGGCCATGACTTCTCTAAAATCCCTGCTATGGGGTGGGAGGCAGGATAGGGGTGGACGACTTACCAAGCAACATCATAAATGGTCCTGGAGTGGAAGCCTGACAAAGTGCAGATGCATTTCCAGCTTGGGTCAGAGCTGCTGCATGCCACCCCTGCAGGACAGACTTCTCTTAAGCTTAAGATGTTTCCATGTCCCAGGCATCTTAGGGGAGTAACTGAACCATTGCAGAGTGAGCCCTCCCTCACCCCCACCTTCAATTAATTATGAGTCCATGTCTCCATTCCTCTGTCCCCATCCTTGTTGATGTCACTTACACACTGGCCAGACTGGCCTTTCTAAAGCAGAATTCGGAGAAGAAAATGTTCCTGTTCTGCTGCAGACTATAGCTAGTTAGTTATTCTACCTTTGAAGGCCACCCATCAGCCAACCCAACTACTTTATTCCTTCTCAAACCCTTTATATACTACGTCCCACCTAAATGAATCACCAATCCTCAAGTAAGTCTAGACATTCTCACCACCAATGCCTTTACTCACTGTTGGGTTTTCACCTGGAATTCTCGTGTAAAAAGCTCATGTTAAATTCCTACGTGTTCTTTTAAATTTGGATGAAATGGCTCTGTCCACAAAGCTTTCCTGGTTCTTCCAGGACTCAATCTGGTGCCCTCTTGTGGCACATCTTTTTACCCCAATTTACTATGATTCATGAATGTCCCTTAGCAGACTGAACCTCTGGAGCTCCACTACTGGACCCTCACCTTGTTCATTGCCTGGTAGATACTGGCGCCAGATGCGCACAGTCCGGTCATCACTGCAAGACGCCAGGCGCTGGCCACTGGGGTCAAAGGCCAAGCTCCACACAGTGGATTCATGGCCCTCAAGAGTAGCACAGCATACCCAATCATCCTCTTCCTCTCGGTACAGCTTCACTGTGTCATCATAGCTGGCAGAGGCTAATAGCTGAGGGAAGGGAAAAGGAGACCCAGCACTTGCCTGTATGGCCCAGGAAGTGCTAATACCTCCCCCTACCAGGATAGGGATCTGTTTTTATAGAGACTAATTTTTTTTTTTTGGTCACAGAGATCCCTATGAGTCAGGTCAAGGCTGAAAAGCAGAAGAGGCCTGGGCACAAGCCTCCACATCAAAATTCCTTCCCACTAAGAGATCTTGCCTGACTCTTACCTCCTGGCTTGGGTGCCAAACCACATGCTTGACATCCTGTGTATGGGAGTTGAGGACACTGACACATTCATACTCATCCTCTTCATCAACTGTAGAAGAGCAAAAGAAAGGAACCCAAGAGTCAACCCTGTTAACTACACAGAAGGGGATATCTGTCAGGAGATTCCCAATTCCACCTGGACTCACCTTCCCAGACCCACACACTCTTATCTCGGCTGCAGGTGGCCAAGAGGTTGCCAGATGGGGCCCAAGCCACTGACTTGACCTCATTTTCATGGCCCTCAAGAGTGGTTACACACTGTGAAAAGGGAAGAGGGATGAGAATTAAAGGCAGCTAAGACCCCTGGGGTCCTCATGGGTATAGCCCAACTGGCCCAGGATGGCTCAGGTTCCGGAACCAGCCCAGAGGAGCAAATAGGCAACAATCCTGGTCCCATCCAGCCTGGTTACCTCAAAGTCATCCTGGTTCTTCTTCCAAATACAAGTGGTAGCATCAAAGCTAGCAGAAGCCAGGTAATTACCACAGGGAGACCAGGCCACCTTCCGTACGGTGCGCTGATGGCCTTCAGAAAGGACAGACTTGCAGATCCAGCTATCACCTAAAAGCAGAGGACAGGACAGGCTCTGGAGCTGGGTGTGCAAGAAGGTGCAAAGGACCAACGAGCTGTTCAATAATGGGGATGGGGATAGGGATAGGGGTGAGAGTGGGGTTGAGCTGGGGGTGGGTGGTAATATCGGAGCCAAGCTGGGCGCTAAAGCTGAACTGGTGTATTTAACATGTTTTTAAACAACAAAGATGTAACTAACTCTACTTCTGGAGGCACCCTTCTAAACTGCCAATGACTCCTAAAATGTCCTCGGGATAAAATTTGAACCTCACTGTCCAGTTGCAAGTTACTTTGTAGCCTACTTTCCTACCACATTTCTCTCTCCATTTTCCTGCCTCAGCAACCATCACAATTCCTTCAACAGTTTCAGCCTATCGATGTTTTTGCTTCCCTTCCAGTACTTGCCATCTTCTTCGCCTGAAAATTCTTTCTCAGATTGTCTAACGTGACTCGAAGGTCGCCTCTCCTCCCTCGGCCGGTAAACCCGTGCAGGGTCGACCTCCCGGGCAGGCTGCGCACTCACACACTACGCGCGCCGGGGCTCGCGCAGCCAGGCCGGGCCTTACCCTCGGTGCCCCAGATGCGGATTGTCCGGTCGCCACCGCAGGAAGCCAGCAGGGTCCCCGCGGGGTTCCAGGCCAGGAACCAGCAGCGAGAGTCTGGGTGCGCCGGGACACGGCTCAGAAGCACCAGCGAGTCCTTCATGGCGGCCCAGCGCAGGGTGAGGAGGAGATGGGCAGGGTCAGGCGCGCCAACTGCGGGTCTCACAGCGTACGTCTCCGCGACGCCCACCCCGGACTCAAGCGGCCGTCAGAGGCTCCGGCTTCCGCCCGAGGGCCCGGGTTGTCCTGGGAACTAAAGTGCCCGCGGCTACAGCCGCGTAGCCCCCTGGGAGTTGTAGTCGCTCCCCTCACCCCCCCGGCAGAAAGTATAGCGGCACCGCCTTGAACTATTAGTCCCGTGAGGCCTTGCGCAGAGCCGGCGGCACCACCCAGGCTATGACGCGACGGGGAGGAGGCGGGGACCCGGGAGGCGGAGGCGGAGGCGGAGGCAGAGCAGGAGGAAGCCGGAAGTGCATAGGGTCCGGGTCGGTCCGGGCGTTGCGGGATTGGGGCCTGGAATCGCTCGGCCCCCGGCAGCTGGGAAGCCCGTGACAGGGCAGAGCGGCGCCATCCCAGCCCTGAGGACTGCTGACCGGTGAGGAACGGCGGGCGGTGTGGGCGGTGCCCTTTCTCCGCACAGGTCGCACCCCAAAGCGCCGGTCCCTTATCACCCGTCCCCAATCCCCGCGGCCCAGCCGGGTCCTCCGCCCCTCAGCACCCTCTGGCCGAGACCCCGAAGCGGGTATCTTCGCCACCAGCAGCCGATCTCCAGTACCTCCGCCCCCACCCGGATTTGTCCAAACCCCATCTGGCCCGCGGCCCTTTCCGTGTTCTCGTCCTGCAGCCCCATTCCAAAGTCCCCCATCCCCGCCCCCCATCGCCGCAGCCCTCCCGTTTCCTCTCAGCCCTACGTCCCACCACCCTGTTCTCCGGTGTTGGCCCTGACAGCCCCGCGCTGGCCTCACCTGCCGCGAGCCCAGAGCATCGCTCTTTTCCCCGGGACAGGCAGGTTCTGCGCGCCCCGCAGAGGTCGGCGGCGACCAGCAGCGACCGCGGAGCGACGGCGGGCGGCCCGGGACATGTACGCCCCTGGAGGCGCAGGGCTGCCCGGCGGGCGCCGACGGAGAAGCCCGGGAGGCAGCACTCTGCCCAAGCAGCCAGAGCGTAGCCTGGCCTCGGCCCTGCCTGGCGCCCTGTCCATCACGGCGCTGTGCACTGCCCTCGCCGAGCCTGCCTGGTTGCACATCCACGGAGGCACCTGTTCCCGCCAAGAGCTGGGGGTCTCAGACGTGCTGGGGTACGTGCACCCGGACCTGCTGAAAGGTGAGAGCACTGCGCGCCGCCCCTCTGGGTCTCGGTGGGGGCCAAAATGTGGTGTGGGCTGAAGCTAAGATAGCTAGGGGCAAGCACTTGGTTGAAGGAAACATCCTGCCTGGTGTTCATGCCCACCAGGTGGCTCTGTTTGGGGTCCGGCCCGCTCATTAATTCTGATGTTATTCAGCTAAGCACCTACTCCTCACAGCCCTGCTAATCCAGACTGCTGCTATTTTAAGATTCTGCCGGAGGAAGGGCGCTGTATATTGAGAAAAGATAAAGGTGCTAGGTGTCACAATTAGTTGTCCCCTTCTAAGGAAGCTGTGGGATACGAGAAAGTTTCTTTGCTGTAAACTGGTTAGTGGAGGAATAGGAACTTTTAATATGACTAAGTTTTAAAAGATAGTTTAGTGTTCTATGGTAATTGTATTTTTATTATTTTTTTTTATCTTCTTTTTTTTTTTTTTTTTTTTTTTTGAGACATAGTCTCACTTTGTTGCCCAGGCTAGAGTGAGTGCCGTGGCGTCAGCCTGGCTCACAGCAACCTCAATCTCCGGGGCTCAGCGATCCTACTGCCTCAGCCTCCCGAGTAGCTGGGACTACAGGCATGCGCCACCATGCCCGGCTAATTTTTTGTATATATATTTTTAGTTGGTCAATTAATTTATTTCTATTTTTGGTAGAGACGGGGTCTGGCTCAGGCTGGTTTCCAACGCCTGACCTCAAGCAATCCACCCGCCTCGGCCTCCCAAAGTGCTAGGATTACAGGCGTGAGCCACCACGCCCGGCCGTAATTGTATTTTTATTAGAGAAAAAGGGGGTCTATGACATTTTAGGTAATCAGAAATCAGTTCCATTGCCACTCTCAGTAAAACAGTTGGACCATTATAAGTGTGCCTGACTGAGGTAAGGTTGCTTTGTTCATTGTCATGCTTCCCAACCCAGGTAGACAGCTAAAGCCTATAGGAGGGTTCCAAGGAGTCCCATAGTTCATCCCCACCAGTTCTGTCTCCAGAAGTGGGGTAAATGCTCTGTGGTGTGAGGGCAGGATTGCACCACCTGGTTTTTACCCTAAAAAAGGTCAGTCAGTGGGCCCCAAACAGTCCTTAGTAACAACACTGTTCATCACCCCCAAGGTCTTTTGAACCATCCTGAAGGTCTTCATATTTCCTCCCTTTCTATTCGCTGGCTGTGACACATTCCAGATGTTTACTGCCCACATATCAGAATACTTCCTGTTAGATATTTGCACACTGGATTTGGTGAAAAGGGCCAAGTTCTCCTCTGTGTATGGGATCATATACTGCTTCTGCAGGTCAAGGCTGAAAAACCTCATCCTTGTGGCCTAACGTCTTTCTTTCTCTGAGTGTTCCCTTACTGAATTGCATCTCTCTTGCATTTTAGAGGCTTTAGAATGGTTTTGTAGGGAACAGGTTGGGGGCTTCTGGTTTGTTTCTAGCTTGCACAGTGATGATGTCCTTTGCTGGAAGGGCTCATTAAAACCAAAGTTACACACGTGATGGAGGCCTTGTGATATGTAGCCTTTTCTTAAGCACGTAACTGATGGCGCAATGGGCATGAAGTTCGAGTGAGTCAGGATGGTTTTCCCCTCAGCACATTGCCTTAGACTTGCCTTCTTTGAAGCATAGGTGCCACGTTCCCTCTGCTTCATGCAGGCTTTTGAGGTTGATCCCGTGGTGTTTTAGTGTTTCAAGAATTCACTGTCACCCACAAACCCATTGGGAGTGAGTTCCCAATGCTTCCCTTTGCAGATCATCCCTGGCAGTGGGGAAGGGGCTCATAAAATTCACGTAATGCAGGAAAAGGCAATCTCTCCTTCCATTATGTGATCCCACATTCTTATTTCAGAGGTCTAGGAAGCTGTGGCCCAGAAAAGTGAAATGATCTCCTCAAGGCTACTCAGTTGGGGGTGGCATAGCTGAGACTACCTCACATTTCTTGATGCCAGTATACAATGGTGCTGTCTCATTTATGATTTTTATCCTTTGTTCTACTTCAGCTATCATAAGGAATGATCTCACAATCATTCCACTTGGTGTGCATCCTTGTCAAAAGCATGTTAAAAATAAAAATAAATTTTTGGTGCAAGTTTTCCTTTGTTCACATATGTATGTACCCTTTCTAAGAAATTATTCAGACCAAATTTGGTCTTTGGCAAAGCATGTTTCCTTAACCTTTATTGGTATATTGGCTCACATGTTTAGAGATTTTAACCCATCTATGATTTCTACCTGCTCACCTGTGGCCATCTCCTTGGCCGTTGCAAGCTAGGAATACTTTGTGCCCATCAATGGGAGAGTTGAGGGCACCACAGAAGAAGGTGACGAATCAGAAGGTCACTGACTTTGTCTCCTGTCCCTTCTCCCTGTACCTGTTGCTTTTTTAGTACTCAGTGGGCCCTCAGACATACGGTATCTTGTGTGACTGTGCTGATCCTCAGGGCCTCACAGAGGCCCTGGAAGCCTAGGGTATTTATTCCCCATCTCAGGAGGGAGCAGAGCCATCGTGCACAGATGTGGTGCATATGTATACTTTCAGAGGGAGAACAGCCCTTGCCAGTTCTCTGCAGGTGAGAGGAGTGGGCAGGCCCCAGGCTCAGAGCCCTTACCATTTCTCACCCCTGCCTGAGTGCCACATGTTAGTATGGCACACTCCATGCCTGCTTTTAGTTTCTTCTAGACAGCATCTTTATTTGGTGGGTACTGTCATCAGCCCCACTCCACAAAGGTCTCCAGTCAGTGAGGTTAGGTAATTTGCTCAGGAACACACAGCTAATCCAAGTGGCATTGACTCCAAAGTCCATACTCTTGCCACAACGCCTCAGTGCACACCAAGTTTCCTTTTTTTCCCATCTGAGTTGCTCAAGGCTTATCACTTCCCTATTTTAGTTGAGTTTTATCACAAGATCAGCCTAAGCTGTGCTTTTTACCATAACCTTGTCATCTCAGTGTTGGGGCTCAAGTTGATGAACCTGAGGCAAAGCTACTCACCCTCCCACTGTCATTCACAGAACTTCAGAGGCGTGAGCCCAGGGGTCCTCAAACTTTTTAAACAGGGGGCCAGTTCACTGTCCCTCAGACCATTGGAGGGCCGGACTATAGTTTAAAAAAAACTATAAACAAATTCCTATGCACACTGCACATATCTTATTTTCAAGTAAAAAAACAGACAAAAACACTCACATGTGGCCCGCGGGCTATAGTTTGAGGACGCCTGCTTTAGCCAATGCCAGCTGGCTCCAAAAGTCTCCTCCTGGTTTCTCCCCTCAGCCTCACCAGGGGGTGCCTGCTTCTCACACAGCTGTTCAACCTGGGCCTGTGTCCAGAGATATACTCAGACCTCTAGTGGCTCTGAGGAGGGAGCCCCAGACCCCTGCTGCCTCCCAACTGTGACCAGCAAAGGGCAGTGCTGGCAACAGCCCCAAGAAGTGTCTTTTGAGAAAGAGGAAGTTTGGATTAGAAGTGAAGTGAATCACAATTGACAACAGCCACTGGAAGATCACGGGCCTTCCAGGGAGGGCCCATGCACCTGAGGGGTAGTGACTGATGCAGCTGGCATTGCCAAATCCTGCGGGGCCTGTCCTCCTCAGAGGCAACTCTATTAGGACCATTAGTATCTGTGAGATGACCCAGCCAGTTACTAGAGGGCCCTGTCAGAGGCCTATCTGGAAGTTAGAAGAGTCACAGTGGCAGAGGCAGAGCAGGTGGATGGATGCATGCAGAGAGGGATTAGGGAAAGTGCTTCTAACTCCAGTGAGGAGGGAGGGAGACGAGACAGAATCAGGGAGCTGGTCAAAAGCCACTCTAGCCTTCCTTCCTGCAGCCTGTTTGGGTCAGGAAAGGTTAGAGCAATGGGCAGGTAGACAGGAAGAGCTGGGGCCTTTAACACAAATCCAGCCCAGTGACTCACCAGTGACCTTGAGCAAAGTCAGTTCCTTGGGATCCTATTACATAGCAGCTGCCTTCTTCCCTGATGACTAGAGAGCATGGTCAAGCAGTGTTTACCAAAATAAACAGGTCTGGGCTGGGCGCCGCGGTGGCTCATGCCTATAATTCTAGCACTCTGGGAGGCTGAGGCTGGTGGATCGCTCAAGGTCAGGAGTTCGAAACCAGCCTGAGCAAGAGCAAGACCCCGTCTCTACTAAAAATAGAAATTAATTGGCCAACTGAAAATATATAGAAAAAATTAGCTGAGCATGGTGGTGCATGCCTGTAGTCCCAGTTAGTAGGGAGGCTGAGGCAGGAGGATCGTTCCAGCCCAGGACTTTGAGGTTGCTGTGAGCTAGACTGATGTCACGGCACTCTAGTCAAGGCAACAGAGTAAGACTCTGTCTCAAAAAAAAAGAAAGAGCCAGTGACCTTCCCTGTCATATAATGTCTAGGAAAGGAGGAGAGAAAGATGTTGAGATATTGACCCCCAGGAGAGTCCCTGAGCTAGGTTCTGAGTGTGTCTGGGACAACTACGCCTGTTCTTCCTGTGTGTTCTGAGACCCTCTGATGAAAGAGCACCTGCGATACAGGACCAGCTCCCAGGATATCCATTAGCATCAGCCAAAGGGAATTCACATTTGACTTTCCCACCCGTCCTGAGGGTTTGCTCACAGCTTTGGAGTGGAGAAAGGCAGTTTCGATGAAAGAAAACCTGTTTGAGTTTTGGGCCAAAAGCTAATTCTCTGTACCACATCATCACTCTGTCGGGGCAGACCCTTAGTCTGGCTTTAGTAGGCTCCTTTGGCCCCCATTGGCTGATGTGTGTGGTCAAGGAAGTCTCATAAGAGAGATAGACATGCCAGGGTGATGCCACTGTGGCCCTGGTTAGTGGGACAGTAACAGTACAGGTGGCTGCTCTTTCACAGGCATGGTGTCAGCTCCCAGCCTACGTGTGGTGGGAGGGGTGGACATTACTGCTTTCATTTGATCGATGAGAGGCAGAGGTCTAGGGCAGTCAAGTGACTGGCTCAAGGTAACACGTAGTCTGTAGTAGACATA